CCATTCTGACTGGGGTGAGATGGAATCTCAGTGTAGTTTTGATTTGCATGTCCTTGGTGGCTACAGATGATGTAGTCAAAAAACTAAATATAATTGTTGGCAATTTGTACTTCTTTTGAAAATTGTCTGTTTTGTTCCTTTACCCATTTATTTACTGGGATATTTTTATCTTTTGGTTTGTTGTTTGTTTGTTTTGAGCTCTTTATCCATTCTGGATATTAATCCTGTGTCAGAAGAATAGTTGGTAAAGATTTTTCTCCCATTGTGTAGGCTGTCTCTTTGATCTCCTGTTTCATTTGCTCTGCAAAAGCTTTTTAATTTGATGCTATTACATTTATTAATCCTTGATACTATTTCCTGAGCTAAAAGGACTCCTATTCAGGAAATGGTTGCCTGTACCTATATGTTGAAGTGTTTCCCCTATATTTTCTTTTAGTATTTGCAAAGCTTCTGGTCCTATACTTAGGTTTTTGGTCCATTTTGAATTGACTTTTGTACAGGGTGAGAGATAGGGATCTAATTTCAAGTATCTGATGACTATGGCTGCCTGGTTTTGTCTAGGTGTCTTCTATTCTATTCCATTGATCTATGTGTCTGTTGTATGCCAGGATCATTCTGTTTTGTTATTATGGCTCTGTAGTATAATTTGAAGTCAGGTATTGCGCTGCCTCAAGCATTGTCTTTTTGTTCAGGATTGCTTTGGTCACTCTGGGTCTTTTTTTCCTCCATATGAATTTTAGGACTGGATTTTCTAATTCTATGAAGAATATCATTGGCATTTAATAGGGAATTGCATTGAATCTGTACATCACTTTTGGTAATATGGCCATTTTAGCAATATTAATTCTGCCAATCCACGAACATGGGAGATCTCCCCATTTTTTCAGTGTCTTCTTCAATTTCTTTTTTCAGCATTCTGTAATCTTTCTTGTCAAAGTTTTTCATCTCCTTGTTGTTTTTCTTAAGATATTGTGAGTGAAAATCATTTTCCTGATTTCTTTCTCAGGGTGTTCATTATTGGTATATAGAAAAGCTATTGTTTTTAACCTTTTTTTTTTAATTAAAAGCAAATTGGATGTAGCAGATGTGGGGCAGAAAATGACCCTTCACATGTGAGGAGAGTCAAGTTTCTTTGCATTAAGAGTAAATTCTGATGAAAAGAATTCACCTCTCTGCCTTGTTATGATGAATCTACTAGTAATGAAGAGGAAGTTCTACTGCATGCCCTTTTAAATTGATAGAGGCCAAGGCACCAAGGAGAAGCTAGGAAGAAAATAGATGTTCTCAGCAAGTAAGGAAGTGTGTGTGTGTGTGTGTGTGTGTGTGTGTGTGTGTGTGTGTGGTTCTTGCCTGTGTGTATTTATAAGTGTTCAACTAGACCTTCAACAATGGCATCTTTTCAGAGGATCTTTGGGGCTTATGACAGTCTACAGGTGCAAATAACGAATTCCTCATACTTTGGAAATGGTCACATAGTCCCTTTGTGTTTGGGAGACCACTGCTGGAAATAGGTCTTGTTGCCAAGCAGTTATGAGGCAGGGATGAAGAGAATCTCAGGGTCTGAGCTACTACAAACTTCCCCCCACCAGAATCATTTACTTTTTCAACTGGCTCAAGCATATCTATAGGAATGTCTGTAAGAAGTCAGGTACTATTCCACTCAGGGACACAATGTCTAGGTCTTTTCCCTCAAACAACTCATAGCTAGTGTATTAGTTAGCTTTTTCCATGCGGTAGACTATCCCCCTAAAACTTAGTGACTTCCAGCAACAGACATTTATTTGGCTCCAATTCTTTGAATCAGCAGCTGAGGCTGGGCTTGGATGGACTGTTCTTCTGGTATTGATTGGGCTAACTCAAGTGAACATGGTTAGTTTCCAGGTCAGCTGGAGTTGGCTGGTCTGAGGTGACCTCAGTTGGGACATTCATCTCTCCTGCACACGGTCTCTCATCTTTCAGTGTCTTGGGCTTGTTCACATGCAGCCCGCAGGGTTCCAAGAATGAGAAGGGGGGCATACTAGACTTCCACTGCCTTCTATGGGTCAAAACAAATGATGAGGCAAATATAGACAACAGAGATGGAAAATGGGCCCCACCTCTTGATGAGAAGAGTTTCAAAGTCAAATGACAAAAGGATTTGATAAAGGAAAGAGTGGAGAACTGTGGCCCTTTGGGCAATCCTTCTAACACAGCCCATCAGTAAACATGGTTGTGTAAGCAAACAGTCTAACCACCTTATCCTGCAGTCGAAAATTTAACTCAGCCATCTCAAATCTCCATCTGGATTCAGTATGATTTGTTTATGTGTTCTGTGTCAATTTTAGAAAAAAAAAGTTTTGTCTCAATGGCCTTTATTTCATTTTATTGTATTTTAAAGAAAGACAGTTCTTAATTGCTTATTTAGCTTCTATACCCAGAAGACCTTTGAAATTCAGCTTGATATGTTGTAAATATGGGAGAGTCTGTCCCATGTGCACAGTGGGATTTGTTTGGTGAAGGAGCTGGCTAGTGCAATTCTTGGAGTGATGATGTGACAGGAAATGTGCACAGAGTCAGCACCGGGACCCTGGGTTGGAATTCTACAAGGCTAGTCAAATGGCTCAGCCATCTGATAGTTTTTGTCTAGGAATTTGTGAATAGGACACACTATGGTGGAAGGTCCCCTGAAACAATTATGAGACTTTCCTTTTCTAAGCATAAAACATTGACATTTATCAGCCATGTTTGCTCTTCATTCTTTTCCATTTGGGGCTGAGGACACAAGTCCATTGAATGGGCTTAAATTTTATCAGAAAGGATTAAAAAATTTTATATGCAACTCTACAAGTCATTAAATAAGCAAGATATAGAGTCTTGTTCTCTAAGAATCTTTAGGAATAAGCCAGAGAGCCATGAGTCTTGTTTCAGAGTCCAGAAATGTACCACACGGCACGGTAGTGTTCATTGTAGACTGAGATTCTGGAGCACTTTGCATTGTGTTCTTTTGAAGTTACGAAGTGAAATGGAGGAACTCTTCTGTTTTAATATATAAGTATGTTTTCCAATAAGACTTGACTTTCAAAGACAATTAAGAGAGGTAAAACCTAAAGCGCTCCTCTCTTCGGAGGATACTAGTTTCTGGAGCCTTCCTGACCTGCAGGATTCTGTCACATAAAGCTATTCTTATATTCTGGTCTTCTTACTATGGCGCCTCTGTCTTTACTCAGTTGGATTCAGAATAATTTGCAGCACAGTCCCACTTAGAAAGTCCTACAAAGAAGAGATCCATATTTTCAAACATGCATTTTTTTAAAAAATTTAGTTACAACAAATTGTAAAGCAACAGATCAGCAGATGATAAAAAAAAATAACAAAGAAATTTAATCACTACAAGGCCAAGAAGTATAATGTTGGGAGGGAAAGGAAGGAACTGGGGAATGAGATTGATCAAATTGGGTTATGTGCAAGCACAAATATGACATGATGAATCCCACTATTGTGGGTAATTATAATGCACCAACAAAAAATAAATTTTAAAAAGTAGAATGTTACCAGCTTCCCCAAGTCCCTGCTTGCAGCCAGACTCATTCCTTACCACCTCTTTTCAGCTCAAGTGTAGCCACCATCCTGGCTTCGAATAGCATAGGCTGGTTCTGTTTGGTTTAAAACTTGGTGTAAATGAATCACCACATTTGCCTGGCTTGTTTTGCTCAGCATTCTGGCTCATCCATCTATGTTGTTGTGAAAAGCTATGGTTGGCTCATTTTCACCAATTTCCATTGAATGAGTGTACTATAATTTATGTATCAGTTCTGCAGTTAATGGGCCTTCTTATTGTTTCCAGTTGTGGCGATTATGAACCTTCTTGTACATGAATTTTGGTGCCCATATGCACTATTATTGTTGAGTGTATATTTAGGAATAGAATTGCCATGTTGCTCCCATATGTTCAATTTCAGTAGGGATGCCCAGTTTTCCATAGTGGATGTGCCAATTCATACTCCCACTAACAGTGCTTTCTATCCTTGTTAACACTTGCTACTGTCAGTCTGTCTATACCATGTGGGACTGTGCAGTTGTATCTCATTGTGACTATAATTAGCATTTCTCTCTTATTAGTGAGGTTGCACACCCTCTCACATGTGTAATGAGTCTTTGGATAGCTTTTTTTGTGATGCACCAATTCACGCACCTTGCCAACTCTTCTGTGGTTTGTCTATTTAGTACTGATTGGCATGTGCTGTTTTTAATTTCTGGATACAAGCCCTTTGGAGGTTACATGAATTGCAAATATCTTCCCCAACTCTTCATGGTGGCTTTTGATGATCAGAAGTTCTTAATTTAATACAGTCCAATAATCTATCCTTGTGGCAATACCACAGCTTTGAAAAGTAATCCAGTTTTGCAGTAAGTCTTCAAATCTTGTAGCGTAGGTCTTCCAGGTTTTTCTTCTTTTTCAAGATTGCTTTGTCTATTCTTGGTCTGTAGCATTTCCATACATTTTAACATCAGTTTGTTGTCTGAGATTTTTATTTAGAACTGTATTAAATCCATATAGATCAATTGGGACAAACTGGAAGATTTGAGCCTTCCATTATACGGTCATGGTATAGTTCTTCATTTACTTAGGTCTTTCGTTTTATACATCAATATTTTGTCCTGTCCCATGTAGAAGTCTTTCAAACTTTTTGTTAGATTTATTCTTAGGTATTTGATTTTTTTTCACATACTTGTAAATGACATCCTTTACATTTTTTGTTTTCTGTTTATTGCAAGTATCTAGACATATTTGATGCTTTCTATTGAAGTAGACCCAATGTCCTTGACAAACACACATATTAATTGTAATGGTTTGTCTGAAGGTTCTCTGGGGTTATCTATGACACACAGTCATATCACCTGGGAGCCCTAACACTATTATTTATTCTCTTCCTGTCCTCGTGCTTCTCATTTCCGTTTCTGATGTTCTCATTGACTCTGTGGCCTTTGGCCTAATGAAGTCTTTCCCCCTTTCCTTCCAGAGGAAGCTGAGGCACTTATCGACTATGAAGATAATTTCCCTGATGACAGATCCGTGTCATTCAAAGAGCTCATGGAAGATTCCCGGACAGAGGCAGAAGAGGACAGAGGTCAGGAAGAAGCCTCTGAGGAGGCCCCAAAGCAAGACCGTCTGGTCTCCATTTCTGTGGGGAAGGAACATGCAGCCTGGGATAAAGCATCTGTGCCAACCACAGGCTTGTCTGGCCCTGAGAGCAGTGTCCCCACGGACTGGCCAAAATCCCAGGTAAACCAGAAGTACTCGCTCTGGTTTCCTGCTGAGACTTTCCACAAGCCTGAGTTGGAAAAGGACGTGGACGATGACACCAAAAAGCCGTTTCCTGCTGGAGACAATCACAGTGGAGCGAAATTGGTCCCAGGTGAACCCGAAACCAAGGTGATCTATGGTAGCACTGAGGGCCCCTTGGGGCCTTTTGTGGACAGAAATGACAGGAGGGCAGGGGACCCCGTGGTAAGCAGCAGTGATGAGTCCTGGTTAGATGGGTACCCTGTGACGGACAAGGCTTGGAGGAAAGAGGAGGTAGAAGGGGAGGATGAGGGGGACAAGGGGGATGGGTCAGTAGGACAGGATGAAAGTGTTCTCGTGACCCCTGATCAGCCCATCCTCGTGGAAGTCAAGAAGCCCAGGAGCACGGCTCTCACACCAAGTGAGGACACGACCCACAGTTCAGTTCTTCCATCTCAAATGCTAGATGTGGAGGCATTGGCTCTCAGGCCCATGAACGTGTCTGAGACAGAGGGTCCCCCCAATAGAGATGATGACTCCTCCAAGTACCAGCCAACTCTACCTTGGAGACTCATCACAGAGGAGTCTCCCATGGCCACCCCACCCCACGAACTCACCCACTGGACCCTGGAGACAATGACAACAACTGCTGTCCACCAGATGCCTACCCACATCCCCTCAACTCGCACCGAGGCCACCACGCTGCCAGTGGAAACCACTGCTCCTGAGGTCCAGGACAGCTTCCCCTACCTGCTGTCTGAGGACTTCCTAGGACAGGAAGGCCCCGGGCCAGGTGCAAATGAGGCAGAGCTCCTTCCAACTCTGGAGCCCTGTGTGGGAGACGAGTGTCCCAGCCTCAGCAGAGGCCCCGTGATCGCCACCATTGTCACAGTCCTGTGCCTGCTGCTGCTCCTGGCAAGTGTGGGGGCCGTGTGGGGTTACCACAGGTGCCAGCACAAGAGCTCCGTGTACAAGCTGAATGTCGGCCAGCGGCAGGCCAGGCACTACCACCAGCAGATTGAGATGGAGAAAGTCTAACCACCTTCGGAGGAAAAAAGAACCGTGGGACACCAGAGCGCAGGTGAAATAGGGCTCATCTTCTTTCCCCGCAGGGCTGTGTTCTGTAGGCTGAGAAGTGTCTCTGGAGACACCCGGCAGGGCAGGGAGGTTTTGGTGGCTTTGTGACATAGGTCGATGTCTCCTCCACCATCTGCTCTGGAATCGATTGCACTAAGACCTGTGTGTGGGCCCTGATTCCAAACACAAGGTCCAAAAATCACCTCTTGCTTCATCAAAATGTTGTCTTCTTTTCCTTTTTTAAGAAAGAAAAGCACTGACTCCGTATCCTGAAATTTTAAAAGTAGACTTAATACACCACGCCTCTGAGGGCACAGTGTTGCTGGGGACAATGACGACTGCTTGCTGACAGTGGGATACAGAAAAATAAGGGGTCATTTCCTTTGAATGTTGTGACGTTGCTAAGGACAGATGAGCCAAGAACCAGGGCTCAGCCAAGAAACTCTGGTGTTTCCTTTTAATTGTTTGTTTGTTTGTTTGTTTTTGTTTCTTTTTCTTTTTTCTGGAATTGGAGAGAATTTAAGGCAGACATTTTGCTATGGGGAGGAGTGAAGAGACACACATCCACCTCTGTTCCCTCCATTCTGTGGGACAGCCCAACATTGTTTAAGAACAAGGTGAGCTTTATACCAGGAAGGATCATTTCCTCCAGTTGTTCTTGACCAGTCTGCGCCTAGGAACATCTTGGAATCTTTGTCAGGACTAACAAAACTCAATCTTTAGTTTCCTCTCTCAGGATTAACCATTTGTCTGAACTCCAGTAAGAGGGAATGACATGGAGGAAAAAAAAAATATTTGAAGAAAGCCAAAGATTAGATGTCAAGTGCTACTTGATGGAGATGAAGAATTAAAAAGGAACATGAAATGACCTGTGCCCATCTATTCCTTACTTATATGGGAAAGTCCATCCGGGCTACCGAGTAACCTGTTTCATAGCATCTAGATCATCCCATATAGAGATTCGGCAAGTATTATTTATGCCAGTGGCTCTCAAAGGGTGGTCCTCAGAGCAGTCACATCAGGGTCACCTGGAAGCTTGTTGGAGATGCAGGTTCTCTAGGACCACCCCAGACTCAGGAAACAGAAACCCTGGGGGTGGGTCCCAGCTCTGGCTGGCTTAACCAACCTTCCTGGAGATTCCAATGTGTACTGAGCGTGAGAGATATTGGTTTATATCATAAATTGTGAGTTTTGAGGCCAGCTGAGATGAGTAGTACCCAGGGTCTGTCTTGCATAGAAACCAGGTATGGCCTCTTGTACCTGAGGCAGTGTTTGGAGCTACCAGTGGGCCACCTCCAACAGCCTCCTGTCCACTGGCCCTGAAGCTAAATACATCAGATTCTTCTAATACAAATTACCTTCTTGGAGATAGTTTTCAGTGGTAAAAAGTGACAAAGGCAGTACATTTATTTTGAGACACTACTGGAGTCCAAGGGCTTCTGTGTGGCACGAAAGACATCCTCATCATGTTTTACAATTGAAAAATGGAGGTTGGTGGTTTTTTCTATGGAAGAAAGAATTTCCGTAACATGTTTGCTACCCTGCCACTTCTTTTCAGTGCAAGCTTTGAAAAATTCATAGACTAAGTAGTTACAAGACAGTACAGCTTAATCAAAGATCTTAACCCCCATAAATGGGTAAATGAAGGCCTGAAGTTACCAACTGTTAATACCTATCCATCAGATGAAATCTAGACTAATAGGAAGGAAATGTTTTCTTTGTGTAGCTAAAGCAGATCATTGCAGAACAAAAGCCAGTGGCTGTATATATTTTACAATTAGATTCTAATCTATTGCAGGATAACTTTTCTATTTTTAACTCTATAAAATAACCTCTGTCTCAACATTGGGACTCTATTAGCAGCTATTATTATGTAATAACCCAGAACATTGAACCTACACCGACACATAAATAGGTAATATTAATACAATGTATTAATAAATTTATTACAAATTATTAATACATGTAAATATATTTTTCTGGAGATATGAATTGCAAAGCAAATCCAGCACATCAGTTTTTAAGTTTTCTTTGATTTGATGTCATCTAAATTGGTGTTACAGAATCAAAAGATGTTTGTCAAAAGGGAATGATTAAAATAAACCTAAATCGTTTGCCATTTTGCATGTTTTGAGACTGGTAAATGTTTGGTTGATGCTCATAAAAACTGAGGGAAAGAGAGTTTTCATTAACACAAAGCTTCTGATATATTTTAAATAAATAATTATTTCCCCAAACCATTGTTGAATGTATTTTATTTCTGGCTTACCACATATTTTTTTAAAATGGTACCAGGGAATTGAACCCAGGGGTGCTTAACCACTGAGCCATATTCCCAACCTTTTTTAAAACTTTGAAACAAGTTCTCACTAAGTTGCTTAGGGCCTCTGTAAGTTGCTGAGGCTGGCTTTGAATTTGCAATCCTCTTACCTCAGCCTCCACAGCCGCTGGGATTACAGGAGTGCACCACCACACCTGGTCTTTTTTTTTTTTTTCCCTCTTTTAAGAATTATTTAGTAATCTTAAAAATAACATCTTAATACTTGCTATATTTACACTGCCCTCTCTAAGCATAACTCTCAGCCACCTTACCTCCTACAGCGGATTTCTGGGAAGTCTACAGAACCCTTGCCCCCTGCCTTTGTCACCCGAGTCATAGAGGAATGGTTCCTGCCCCAGCAGAACAGGCATTCCTGTCACCTTTTTAGATCAGGCCCTGCCCCAAACCTGCTGAATCAGAAGCTGCATTGAACAAGATGCCCCGGTGATGGATGTACATAGTAAGGTTTGAGAAACATTGGTCTAAGAGACCAGAACTGATTACCCTCTTCTCTCAACTGATGGGACATTCAAAGGAATAATTACAGAGGGCTAAGAGGAGACAGTTCACAAAGATATAGGCAGGGTTAAGAGAACCATCAAGGAATGGTAGATACTGGTGGGGACCCCAGCGACAGAGCTTCAGCAATAGGAAAGACACTATAGGATAAGAGCTCTGGCCTCAAAAAGCAGCCACTGTTTAACTGTAGCATGAAAGGAACATGTGTTTTTTGTTTGTTTGTTTGTTTTCTTTTTTAATTTTATTTTTTTGGTACTGGGAATCGAACCCAGGAGTGCTTTACTATTTACCGCTAAGCTACGTACAACCCCAGCCCTTTTTTATTTTTTGAGACAGGGTCTCTCAGTTGTAAGGATTTTGCTAAACTAGGGAGGCTGGCCTGGAACCTGGAATCCTCCTGCCTCAGCCTCCCGAGTAGCTGGGATGACAGATGTGCACCATCACGCCCAGCCAATATGGGGTTTTAAAGACTCGGACCTCTTAACCTCTCTCTGCAGTGTCTTGAAGGCAGGTCCCATTGAGAAGTCAGAGAGCAAGGAAGCCCAGGCATTGTGGACCATAGGAATCAGGGAAGGGTGGGAAAGAAATTTAGTAGAACAAACAGGGAGATCCAGCTCAGAAACCACCAGCACTGATCCCATCTGCCTTTTGTCCCTTTCTACCTCTATGACCACCAAGGATCCATGCCTCCCAAGTCATGCCCCTCTCAGATTCCCCTCACTAGGCAGGAAAACTCACCTTCCAGTTGCTGCAATGCTCATAAGCACATAATTAATTGTACACTCCTCACCCAGAGAACTGTCTTCACCCAGGAAGTGAGACCCATCTTCTACCCTGCTAGACTGGATATATGGGGACAGAAAAGACCGGACTCCTCACCTCCAGCAGGGACCAGCTTAATGGTGTAATCTCCAGGGATCCCAGGAGATCAGGATGAAGCTGGTCCAACGAGAACACATCCTTGCTGGCTCCTTCCTGCTTCCCTCCCACCCCTTCTCTTGAGAGCACTCCATCACTGGCATAAGGCTTTGCTTCAAGGGATCTGGACTCAGCACAGTGATTCACATTCAAACTCTTCCTCCCTACCCTACTACTCCTCCTCAATCCAAAATCTAAACTCTTTCGCTGTGTGCTCTGGGATTCTTGGGTTAACATAGTTTTAAAAAAAAAATTGTTGTGTTGTCAACTTCTTCTTCAGAGAGCCGAGGTCTGCACCCACCATAATGTAGACTTCTTTGTTTTGGGCTGGCTCGTTCCTCCCTCCTTCTCTCTACTTTCTCCTTGCTTGCCCTTTAGAGACACGCATGGTGCCGTTGCTATTGGCAGGCATCAAAGAAGATGCTTTGAATCCAGTTTTGAAACCGATTCCAGACTTTTTTTCTTTTTTTCCTAGTGAGATCCCAGATCTCTGAAAGAGAAGCTTCCCAGGGAGAGAAATGAGCTCCTGCTGCCTTACCATACCTCAGCCAGCTCCTGGCTATCCAGGACCGCCTCTGCTTCGGGCAACCCAGGAGTCCTTGGTATGAAGGTTCTGCTTTGTTAGATGACTGTCAGAAATTTCATGGACCTGAGAAAACAGAGCTCATTACAACATGTGTCCTGAAATGACTGGGTGTGGCTAAGATATTCCCATCCAGTGGATAGAAAAGAAAACAGTAATAAGGAAAAAAAATAAAAGTGGTTTTTGTTTGGTTTGGTCTGGTTTAGTATGAGGAATTGAACCCAGGGATGCTTTACCACTGAGCTACGTCCTCACTCCCTTTTTTAAAAATTTATTTTCTATTTTGAGACAGGGGCTCACCAAGTTGCCTAGAGCCTCACTAAGTTGCTCAGGCTGACCTCAAACTTGTCATTCTCCTGCCTCAGCCCCCGGAGTGGCTGGGATTACAAATGTGTGCCACCTCCTCTGGCTAAAGTGATCTTTTTAAAGTGTCTGTTTCCAACTTTTTTCCAAGTTCTAATTTTCTTTCTTTTTTTTTTTAATTTGCTTTAATTATTTTTTAAAAATTTTATTTATTTATTGGTATGTGGGGCTGAGCATCGAACCCAGTGCCTCACATATGTCAGGTGAGCGCTCTGCCGCTGAGCCATGACCCCAGCCCAATTCTAATTTTCTACAAGAGTGAGATCATACATACCACCCTGGAAAAAGACAGCAGTAATAACTTTTATAATTTGGTCCAGGGGCAGCCACCCCTAAGTGAGGGATGAAACTCTGGGATCCAGTTGGGATCTATTGGCCACATTGCCAAATTCCTTCCTATTCTTCTCTTGTAAAATGAGACACCAATATCTTAGCATCAGCTCTAAGAAGATACTGAACCAGATCATTCATTCAACGGGCAACCAAAGCCAGGTACCTGTTGGGGGAGAGGTATAGGTGCTAGGGTATTCCTGCTCATATGCCTTCCCTGGAGAGCAAAGCACTCTGTCTATAACCATCGGTGCTCCTGACTCTTATTTTTTGGCACTGGGGATTGAACTCTCACCACTGAGCCATGTCCCCAGCCCTATTTTTTATTTTATTTAGAGACAGGGAGCTTACTGAGTTGCTAAGCACCTTGCCACTGCTGAGGCTGGCTTTGAACTCACAGTCCTCCTACCTCAGCCTCCCAAACCCCTGGGATTACAGGCTTGTGCCACCACACCCAGCTGCTGATCCTGACTCTAATTTCCAGGTAGGAATGGGTCATCGAAGGCAAAACTGGGCTGTTGTGGTGTCTTCTTTTGCAGGGAGATGCCCCAGGGACAGGCATGGGGACCAGTCATGCCCCCGGCTACAGACACAGGAAGACCAATGCACAAAATCTTTGACTGAGGCCTACTTTAGTCTCCTGCCCCCACACCCTTGTACATAGTTTAAACTCTCCACACTGGGTCATTCAAACCCAGAGTCACCAGAAAAAAGAAGTCGCTGTTTGGGGGATGGCAGATGATCAAGAGTTCAGACAGCTGCGATGAAGGATTAGTTGTGGTTTTTTCTCAGTGCCTCACTACAAACTGTGCTGCAGACCCATGTTCAAACACTATTAAATGAGAATGTTTTCCCTGGCACCGATCCACCTTTTACCCACAGTTTAAGTATTGAATTTTTTTTTTTCTCTCAAACTGAAGTAGCTTCGGTTTACAGCTCACATTTAAAACTTAAAAACGTTATTTCCATAAACGTTGGCAGAAACTGGCCACCGTTTTTTATTCCATCGGCAGTCATAATAAAGTCTTTCCCATTGACAATCTAACAAATCATTTTCTGTTTGCCACTGAATGGGGTTCCATAAAATTTTTGTGCTCTTAAAATTCCCTTAATAAGAACTCATAAGAGCACACATTTCCTTCCTAAGGCAGCCTTTGTGGTCTGTCCCCAGCGATTCTCCTTTTAGATCCCAGAGGTGAGCAAAGGTTAGTGGCAGTCTCAAAATTTAGAAAGGTATTCACGTGTCCAACAGGATATCTTGCGCTACATTTCAGTCCGTTGGTCATTTTAAAATACGTGCATATTCATAAACTGCCCCTCAGCCCTGAGCAGTGGCCACGAGGGGTGGCCTTTGGACCTTCACGGTGGGTGTCTTCCACTTGGATGCCCGAGTGGTAATGGGGCTGGACAGACAAACCCCAACGGCAGTCATCTCCCCAGGACCAGCCTGAGGAAACCAAACAGGGAGAGCATTGTGTTCCATGCCATTGGGGCAGAAGGAAAATGAGGCATCTTAGAGGAGACCTGGCTGGACCCTCCTTCAAAGCTTACAAATGTGCTTGGTTTTTCAAAAGACCAAACTGATGCTGAACCTATGGGGTCTCAATCCAGAAGTCTTCTAGGCTCTTCCAAGAAACACACTCAGGGAGCTGTTGGGTTGAGCTATTGAGTGCAGCCTCACACTGGGGTTTCATGGTAGTTTAAGAGGAACCAGGCGCTTAAAAAAAAAATCTGGTTTTGTTTTCTTTGAAAAAGGTTTAGTAACTCAGCTCCTTAGTCAAAGATGTTGACCACACTGTCACCAGAGGTTATTGCTAGGGTAGAGGCAGAAGAGTCCTTTTAGTGTGAGTGTGTGTGTGTGTGTGTGTGTGTGTGTGTGTGTGTGTGTGTAGGGGAGGGTTCTGGAAATTGAACTCGAGGGCACTCAACTACTGAGCCACATCCCCTACCTTATTTTGTATTTTATTTAGAGACAGGGTCTCACTGAGTTGCTTAGTGCCTGGCTAAGTTGCTGAGGCTGGCTTTGAACACGCAATTCTCCTTTCTCAGCCTCCCAAGCCACTGGGATTACAGGTGTGCACCACCTTGCCCAGCTGAAGGGGCCTTTTAACCCTAGTGAAAGGGGAACAACTTCAGAGAGTGAAGGAGGACCTCCCCCACCCCACTCAATCCCTATGTGGAACAACATCCTTTACTAAAAATTC